TTATAGGTGGTCATTTTTATATTTTATGGAATATATCTGTTATTTACATTTGGAGAAGAAAATTCTTCAAAAAAAAATTACTTCTAATATTATTATCTATAATTTTTGTTATATACAAAATTTTCCTAAAATGGTCCGTATTCGAGAAATTTTACAAAATAAAAAAAATATTTTTTATAAAAATTGTTCAAATAAAAGTTGTTTATAATATAATTCTCTATAATTTTTATTCTATACATAATTTCTCTAAAATAGACCGTATTCGAGATTTTTGAGAAAATGTGTAAATTTTGAAGAAAACTCAAAAACGGATAAAGAAAAAAACATTTAATTTTAAACTTAAGTTTTATTTCGGCTTGACGTGAAATGATTAGATTTTGGACAAAGTCGGAACATCTGGGGGGGTACTTTATGGGAGGCCGTTTTTATATTTTATGGAATATGTCTGTTATTTATGTTTGGAGAAGAAAATTGTTCAAATAAAAGTTACTTCTAATATTATTATCTATAATTTTTGTTTTATATCAAAATTTCCTGAAATGGTCCGTATTCGAGAAATTTGACAAAATGTGCAAAATTCTGATTTTTATGAAAATTGTTGAACTAAAAGTTGTTTGCGATATCGATCTCTATAATTTTTGTTTATATATAATTTTTCTAAAATGGACCATAATGGAAAAATTGGAGGAAGAGTGCTAAATTTAAATTTTTTAGTATTTTCGTTTTCAATGAATATCTATAGAAAAATGTTTCGAGGTAGATGTATGTTGACAATGTATATATTTAGTTTATCCTCTAAACATTTATAGAGATGCTGGAATAGGCTGTACAAAATAACCGGAAAAAGCCTGTAATAACTAGATAGGAAAGTCATGTGTTGGACACATCAGATTTTTAAACTAAACATAATGATATTATCGAGCTGTATAGATATATCCATTATGATGAATCAAGTTGCCTTGATTTTAGAATCGGTCCTGGAAATCATGCTGAATAAAAAATAGCAAGAAATGCAACGGCAATGGTTTAAAACCGTTTCGAGGTTTTACGAATCAAGAACCAAAAAAATTATTCACAAACGGGATTTTATGTAACAAATCGAGAACAAAAGAAAGTTTTTGTTAAGGTTTACGATTTCTATTTAAAACGTTTATAGCAAATCGAAATTTTTCGCTATTGTGTGACTAATAGTAACGGTTTTGTTCATTGCCATATCTAGAACAAGCTAAGATTTAGAAAATCTTAAGACATACTTTTTTATTTCGGTTTAGGCTCTGTTTGAAATAGTCTGATTTATATCATCTTAAATTGATTATTTAAAAGCGAATATGTGGAATAAACTATTTAGGTATTAGGGACACGAAATCAAAACAAAAGAGTTAATATCAGAATAGTTGTCATGTATACATAGTAAGCTCATTTTCAATATAATTACCACGGCGATTTTAATAACTGATTATTTAATATTACATGTGCATCAATGTTCACTCTCAAATTTTTGACTTTAAAAGTCAAATATGTAACCTACAAAATGACAATAGAAAGATAAGAGTTAATTGGACTGTTTCTATTTGAAAACTTTTATTTGTAGTGTACGTTAGGGAAAAATGCTAATTACGACAAATATTTACATGGAATCCTTGAAATTTACAACAGTGTTAAGGTTAAAATATTCGAATAGAACAAACAGTGTTAATGTTAAAATTAAATTATCCATACAATGACGTTTATTGGTTAAATGAAAAACATTTTTATCATTTAGCAATTAATGACGCTAGCATTTCGGCAATTATTGTAAAAAGCAAATAAATATTTACGCAGAATAAGTATAGATTAGAGGAAATATTAATAAAGGTAAATAAAACTGCACTAGAAATGTATAAATTACCTATGTAAGTTCTGACCACCCTATTTTCGCCAGTGTCCCTAGTTTCATTAGTTTTTCTAATGTATTAAAGATTTAATTTATCAAAAATATAATTCAGTAATGTCTTATCCATTCGACAACAACGTGTGCAACTTTTAATAATGTTTAATCATGTTATTTCGTCTAGAGAATTATGCAAATAGACGCAAGTCGAAAGTGGAGTGAGAAGGGTGTCTGAGTTACTAAGGCGAGTCAACTGTAATTTGTCTGAGAATTAATTTTGATAATATAAGCTTGTCGGCATTAATATAGTATATGGAACGAATATTTTTTAATGATACTTATGAAGTATGAAAATACAAGTGTCTTAACCATTAAAGGTTAGTTGCTTATATTTCTACGACCATCAAATCTAACATTTATTTATTTAAACAATTTGCACTAATTTATTACTGCTGCACTAATTTATTACTGCTACACTAATTTACATTGACTAAACATAAAAATATCAAAAAATCAGGGTTTAACAAAAGAAGAAGGAAATTTTAGATACTTTTTTCGATTTATATTTGTTGATGTCTCAGTTATTAAAATGCAAATGCGGTACTTTTGGTAGTAACAATATTGGTGGATTCTTTATTTCATTTTCACTATCGCACATTTTTACTTATTTTATATGCAAAAATACAAATTTCAGGAATTTACTAACATAATGAATTCTTAAAATTGATAATTTTAGACCTGTTCTTAAAATTGATAATTTTAGATCTATCAGATACACAGAGCAATATTTGATGTTGACCAACTATTGCTGTGATGTTGCACTTATATTGGGTATGAATATTACGGATATTTTTAAGAACATAAAGATGGTGACGAAATTTGGGACACAATAATAATTCCTATTATTCAATATCTCTATTTTCGTCAGCATATATACGGACGAAATTAGTGCCAGGAGTGTGGGTATCCAAATAATATCAAATTATATTTTGAAAAAGAAAAATAGTTCCATACAAAATAGAATAAGTCGTTTGTCCTAATTTCTTCTTCCTTTTTTTAAATAATGTAGATGTTATACATATTAAAAGAATTGTGACGGAATTTGGGACAGTACAAAATGTTTACTAAATCGGCTATCTTAATTTTTGTTATATGCTTCAAATAATAATATAAATTCACTAGAATTATTATAAATAATAAAAAAAATATATTATTTATTCAGGCTTTATTTTTAATTAACAACAACTTTGTTTTATAAACATTTTGTTTTGAATATTAAATAATGGTACTTTTGAAACATTTCACCATTTATTAATTTATTAACATGTGATATAAGATTTTATTTTCTCGACAAGCAGAATCAAGAATGACTTTTCGACGTAGAATTAATAATAACTAATGTTCTCCTCTCGTGAACATGTCTACTGCATCCGTAGACACACAGTAGGTATATTTCAATGTTCCAAAAAATACCATTTTTTATTAAAAAATAAATAATATTTTTAAGTCTTTATTTTTTATGTTTATTTGAAATACATTTAGAGAATATGATGAAAATATAGACAATTAAAAGTTAGAGCCAACTGGTATTAGTGTACTGATGAATTTGACATTTTCTCCTATTACGCAATGGTGACACTTATCGCTTATTATAACACTGCAAAATTCTTTTGACTGCAAGTTGTTTACTCAGAAGCTGTTGCCAAATTTTAAATAAAATGAGAAGTGTATTTATAGATTAGTAATAGTGGTAGTTTCAGTTTTATATAGAGTTTCTATGTTTGCATAAATAAGTGAGTTCTTTGGACTAAAGAAATAATTTATACAAATACAAAACAAAAAAATTAAAATTATAAAGTCATACAATTAAAAAAACCTCTATTTGCTCATCTACCCAAAAAAGAAATATAATCATCCATGCTGAGTATAAGTATAACTAGTGTATTTATTATAATGGTCGCATTATTATTTTGATTATTAAGGTGACAAGAATAAATGTTTATAGAACCTAGTTCTAGTCCCAAAAAGGTTAAAAAATTCACCACTTACATCCACCAGATTTTATTTATAAAAGTATATCACTATGCTAGTGATATTTTTCAGGAATTATTGAGTTTTCAACATGATACTAATGTTCTTACGTCTCTTCTGAAAACCCAGTTCCTACAAAATTACGACAGATCAAGTTGATTGATATCCACCTACAGTTTGACATAACGACAATTTTAAAAAATTATTTTTTCCACTATCGATATCCAAAGTAGGCTTTTACGCTTCAAAATCCAACCGCTAAGTTGACGTTGATGAACTGACATTAAGTGACAGCTCTGTCGCTCACCGAGCGATAAAGTTGACAGTTCTGTTGATCGCCTAATTTAAATTTGCTATAATATAATATTTCTTTTATGATTTTATTAAATTTATTTCTACGTAGTTACATATTTTTTTGTTATATTATCCAATTTAACATGGACAAGATATTGTGCATTTTGAGCGAAAAGTTCGTTGCCGCTTTCGACAGTTTGCCGCTCTCCGCTACGCGTCGGACGGGCAACTTTCTGTTTTAAGCGGCAAAGTATCACTTTTCGCTCTTAATACACAAATAGCTATTTCCGTTAAATGTATTTTAATTTGCTGATTGTAATAATTTTAGACTTATCAACAACTGATTTAACTTTTCATAATATTTTTTCTATATAATCACACATTGTTTTATATTGGTATCGTTTTGTTTACTGTGTAGTTTTTTTAATTACATAAAATGGTAATATTTGCAGTTACATTCTTCCTTCTTCTGATACTACTGGACTTCCAATATATTCTCAACTCCATTTTTTATATTTAGAGCCTTGTTTCCTTGTTCGTCACCTAACTTTTTTATTTGTTACGATTGCTTTGTTTTTGTACATATTAATTTGTTAAATTTTCAATATTTTTCTACCCACATTCTCACTAATTCATTCGTTTTGTTTTGTGTGTCTGCAATTAGCACTGTACACCTAGTAGACATACAAGCAATCTATTTTTATTAGTGTTAGTCTATTCTAATTTATTATACAAATTAATTATAATTATTACGCTGTATCTGATGATCTTAAAACAAATGACTAACACACCGGTTTTGTTTCAGATAAATCTGCGCCTGATTCTCGTCAGCGGCAAAACAAAAGAGTTTTTGTTTAGCCCGAGCGACTCTGCTGGGGACATCGCCCAACATGTTTTTGACAATTGGCCAGACGGTAAGTTTTTGACACATCATTTGCAAAATAATAGCCTAGGTAGAAAACGAAAGATCGCTGTAATTAATATTGATAGACGTAAATGTAAGATAAGCCACGGGAGCAAGGAATTTCCAATATCTTTTTTCCTAACTCTTATAATGAAAGGGAGTGGTTTGTTTCTATAAATTTTACAAAAAAAATAAATATCAAATCAAAATATAAAAAAAATAACTTAATTTTCAATTTCTTCTCTGCTCCTCGCTATGCTTACTCCTCCGCTTAATTCTTGCTTCTCTTACTCCTTGTCTATGTTTACTCCTTGATTGCCTCTGCTTATCAGTTGCTCCTCGGCTTAGCTCTCTTTTTATTTTCTTTATTTCATCTTTCCTGTTTTAATAATTCTTTTATTCTAATACGTTCTCTAAATTCCCTTTGACAACCCACGTTCAGAACTTTGTTTTACATTTCTTCCATCTTTCTGACAGTTTTCACCTTATCAATTCCAACCTCTTCAATCTGGTTATTTCATTTCCTCTTGGGCCTTCCTCATTGCCTTTTTCTTAATTTTCCTATTCCATTAAACCAGACAGAATAGCGAGAATTCTGACTGGTTTAATTGTTTCTTTTTGATCTTTTTCATTATTGGTTCCTCTTAGTTATTATTCACACATATTCATTTCTTACTCTGTCCAAATTAGTTTGCCCCGTTATTTTTCTCAAATGTTTCATTTCCACTGCATTTATTTTTATCTCACATTTTTTTTTTCTGTAGAACCCAGTTTTCGCTAGCATAAATTATTGTTGGTACCTCCTGTAATTATATTGTCAATTTTCATTTTTGTGTCTATATCTTTGTTTTTCTTTGTATCCTAGTATTGTTTTATTTAGGCAATAGTATATTCTGGTTGATTAATGTTCCCTGTTTGTTAGTTCGGCAACTATTCTTCCTTCGTCTATTAATATACTTCCCAGGTATTCATAGGTTGTTACTTTTTCTAATGTTATATCTTTATTATTTCGATCTTTTCAGTTGTTCGTTTACAATCATAAGTTTATTATACTCTTCACACAGTAGTAGTCTGTGAAGAGTATTATGGATTTGCTTCATCCATCCGTCTGTCCGTCTTAGAGAGGTAGAAATAGTAAAAAAAATCTTAACTCAAAAACTAGAAATGATATCAATTTGAAAATTTCAGGAAAAATCAAGTTATATAAGGGGACAAAACCTATTGATTTTGAAAAAATCTGAATAAAAATAGGATGTTAAGAGGGGTAGAAATAGTAAAAAAATCCTAACTCAAAAAATAAAAATGATATCAACTTAAAAATTTCAGGAAAAATAAAGCTTTATACGAGGACGAAGCTTATTGATTTTGACAAAATCTAATTAAAAATGGGGGGTTGAGGGGGATAAATAAAAAAAATCAAATCAAAAACGAAAAGCTATATCGATCATGAAATTTTTAATAAAAATCAAGCTCTATAAGATCATGAAGCATATTGATTTTGAAAAAATCTGAACTAAAATGGGGGTTGAGAGGGGTTGACATATTAAAAAAAAAGTCATAAAACAAAATTAAAAGCGATATCAACATGAAATTTTCAGTAAAAATCAAGTTCTACAAAGGAATGAAACCTATTGATTCTGAAAAAAAAAAGTGATTTAAATGGGGGATAAGGGGGGTTGAAATTGGGGCTGGGCGATTATCAAAATAAATAATCGATTAATCGAAAATAATCTATTAATAGAAAATAATCGATTAATCGAATAGTATCGATTTTTTGAAAATCGATTAATTTAAAATAAATCGATTAATCGAAAATAATCTTTTAGTCGAAAATAATCGATTAATCGAAAATAATCGATTAATAGAAAATAATCGATTAATCGAATGGTATCGATTTTTTGAAAATAATCGATTAATCTAAAATAAATCGATTAATCGAAAATAATCGTTTAGTCGAAAATAATCGATTAATCGAAAATAATTGATTAATCGAAAATAATTGATTAATGGCAAATAATTGATTAATCGAAAATAATTGATTAATCGAAAATAATCGATTAATCGAAAATAATCGATTAATCGAAAATACTCGATTAATCGAAAATAATCGATTAGCTAAAAATAATCGGTTAATCGAAAATAATTGAATAATCAACTAATTAAAAATAATCGATTAATCAAAAAGAATGGATTATTTGAAAATAATCGTTTAATTGAAAAATAGATTAATCTAAAATACCTAATCGTTTATTCGAAAATTATTAATTATTCGAAAATAATCGATTGTCGAAAATAATCGATTGTCGAAAATAATCGAATAATCGAAAATAATTGAATATTCAAAAGTAATCGATTAATCGAAAATAATAGATTAATGTATTGTCGATTAAAAAAAATATATAATCGATTATTGCCCGGGTGTTTAAGAGAGGTTGAAATAAAAAAATCAAAAATCAATAATGAAAACCGATATCAACACGAAATTTTTAGTAAAAATCAAGCTCTATAAGGGAATAAAGCCTATTGATTCTAAAAAAAATCTGAATAAAAATTGGTGATAAGGGAGGTTGAAATATTGAAAAAAAAACCTAACTCAGAAACAAAAAAATAATATCAATTTTATAATAATAATAATAATAATAATAATAATAATAATAATAATAATAATAATAATAATAATAATAATAATAATAATAATAATAATAATAATAATAATAATAATAATAATAATAATAATAATAATAATAATAATAATAATAATAATAATAATAATAATAATAATAATAATAATAATAATAATAATAATAATAATAATAATAATAATAATAATAATAATAATAATAATAATAATAATAATAATAATAATAATAATAATAATAATAATAATAATAATAATAATAATAATAATAATAATAATAATAATAATAATAATAAATTTATTCACTTTAAAAATCGAATTACAATTTTAACTTATATTTAACAGAAAAAAAAATTGTCTATGTGAATAAATAGTGGTTCCACTAAAGGCGAACCTTGTGCGTGGGATACTTTGAGAATTATATTCTACATAGCATTTCTTTTTTTTACTATTTTTTCTTTTATTTATTATAGAGACAAATTAGCAAATTATAAGGGGACAAAGCCTATTTATTTAAAAAAATGGGATTAAAAAAATAAAAAATAGAAATCAAACACCAAAAGCAATATCAACATGAAATTTTTAGTAAAAATTAAGCTCTATAAGGGGATGAAGCCTATTGATTCTGAAAAAAATCCTAACTCAGAAACATCAAATTGAAATCTTCAGGAAAAATCAAGCTTTATAAAAAAAATGTAATTGAAAATGGGGGTTAAGGAGGTCTGTTAAACTGAAGAGTATAATATTAAGTACCCAAGCATTATGTATCTTCATTCTAGTTCTTTTATTGTCTTGACTATTTTATTCATTATGATGCTTATAAACAAGAGCGGGCTTTTATTATACTCCTGTTTTATACCTTTTTCCATTGAAAACTCCTCCGATTTGTGTCCTCCTATCTGTACTCTTACTTTAGGAGTCTCATAGTGCTTTTAATTTACATTGATTAGATCTTTCGGCTCGTCCAAGTCTTCCAAAACCTGCCATATTTTTTCTCTTTCTACTGTGTCGAAAGCTGCTCTCAGGACAATGAAAGCTAAGTATATTTCTTCTCTTTATTATAGCCGTTATTTCTATTGATCTTCTCAAGATATGTTGTTATTTGTTTGTCTTCCTGATCTGAAAGGGGCCGTTCCTCTTCTAATTTTGATTCTACACATTCTCTTAATTTACTCTTTTGTAAATTTTAAAGCTGGTTTTACCCAAGTATATTGGTCTATAGTTTTTACGGCGGTTTTTACAGAGTATCTGATTCCTGTTCTTGTATATTAATTTGTTTTCTCTATCTTTTCGGATTTTGTATTTTTCTCATGCCCTCTGCATATACTCCACAACCATCTCTTTTCTTTTTACTTTCCTATCTGTATACAGATAAGGAAAGTATAGGAATCATGATTTTTTTCGACCTCGAGTTTTCGACGGTTTTTTACGTTTTGGGGTCCCCTGAATCCGTTTCTACTATTTTCGCGATGATGTCTATGTGTATGTGTGTATCTGTGTGTGTCTGTATCCTCGATAACTCATGAACAGATACAAAGAAAAACATCAAATTTTAAAATTAAGCTTTATTCCGACCTCCAGTGAACTGATTAGATTTTGGACAGAGTCTGAACAACTGGGGGGTACTTTATAGTTGGTCATTTTTATATTTTATAGAATATATGTTATTTACGTTTGGAGAAGAAAATTCTTTAAATAAAAGTTACTTACAATATTATTATCTATAATTTTTGTTCCATACAAAATTTTCCTAAAATGATCCGTATTCGAGAAATTTGACAAAATGTGAAAAAAAGTATTTTTTATTAAAATTGTTCAAATAAAAGTTATTTATAATATAATTCTCTATAATTTTTATCATTTACACAATTTCTCTAAAATGGACCGTATTCGAGATATTTGAGAAAATGTGTAAATTACGAATTTTGAAAAAACTCAAAAACGGATAAAGGAAAAAACATTAAATTTTAAACTTAAGTTTTATTTCGGCCTGAGGTGAAATGATTAGATTTTGGACAAAGTCGGAACATCTGGGGGGTACTTTATAGGAGGTCGTTTTTATATTTTATGGAATATATCTGTTATTTATGTTTGCAGAAGAAAATTGTTCAAATATAAGTTACTTCTAATATTATTAACTATAATTTTTGCCTTATGTCAAATTTTCCTGAAATAGTCCGTATTCGAGAAATTTGACAAACCGCAAAATTCTGATTTTTAAGAAAATTGTTAAACTAAAAGTTGTTTGCGATATCGATCTCGATAATTTTTGTTTTTTACATTTTCCTGAAATGGACCGTAATGGAAAAATTGGAGGAAAAATGCTAAATTTAAATTTTTCAAATTTTCGTTTTCAATGAATATCTGTAGAA